TATGCAGAGTACATCATGAGAAACACTGGGTTGGAAGAAGCACAAGCTGGAATGAAGATTGCCGGAAGAAATATCAATAACCTCAGATATGCGGATGACACCACCCTTATGGAAAAAAGTGAAGAAGAACTAAAGAGCCTCTTGAAAGTGAAAGAGGAGAGTGAAAAGGTTTGCTTAAAGCTCAACATTCAGAAAACTAAGATCATGGCATCCAGTCCCATCACTTCATGGGAAATAGATGGGGAAACAGTGGAAACAGTGGCTGACTTAATTTTTGGGGGCTCCAAAATCACTGCAGATGGTGATTGCAGCCATGAAATTAAAAGATGCTTCCTCCTTGGAAGAAAAGTTATGGTCATCCTAGACAGCATATTGAAAAGCAGAGACAAAGCCAACAAAGGTCCATCTAGTCAAGCTATGTTTTTCCAGTGGTCATGTATGGATGTGAGAGTTGGACTATAAGGAAAGCTGAGCACTGAAAAATTGATGCTTTTGAACTATGGTGTTGGAGAAGACTCTTGAGAGTCCCTTGGACTGCAAGGAGATCCAACCAGTCCATCCTAAAGGAAATAAGTCCTGAATATTCACTGGAAAGAATGATGCTGAAGCTAAAACTCCAATATTTTGGCCACCTGATGCGAAGAACTGGCTCATTTGAAAAGACCCTGATGCTGGGAAAGATTGAAGGCAGGAGGAGAAGGGGACAACAGAGGATGACATGGTTGGATTGCATCACCAACTCAATGGACATTGGTTTGAGTAAACTCCAGGAGTTGGCTATCGACAGAGAGGCCTGGCTTGCTGCGGTTCATGGGGTCACAAAGAGTTGGACGTAACTGAGCGACTGAACTGACTGACTGACTGATACTTTCATATTCTTGTTGTTCACCACAAAAACTTCTTATAACTTGGCATAGGGTTCAACCTCAGTTCTTTTCTTGCATCTGAATCTAGACTGGAAACAGATAGTCCCTCATCACTGGAGGGCTTCTATGTTCCACACTTTTACTTACTGTGCTGCCAAGGTCTGGAAGAGCACTGTTAAACCAGTTTTTAGAAGGATCACGTTGGGAGCTTATTTAAGATGTAATCTTCTGATGGTAACCTATAGTGATCATTTTGAAAAGTGTTTGTTGTTATTTTCCAGTTGCTCAGTCATGTCCAACTCTTTGCAACCCCATGGACTGCAATAGACCAGGCTCCTCTGCCTTCCTCTATCGCCCAAAGTTTGCTCAAGTTCATGTCATTGAGTTGGTGATACTATGAAACCATCCCATCCTCTGCCACCCCCTTCTCCTCTTGCCTTTAATCTTTTCCAGCATCAGAGTCTTTTCCAATGAGTCAGCTCTTCACATCAGGTGGCTAAAGTATGCTTCAGCAACAGTCTTTCCAATGACTATTCAATGTTGATTTCCTATAGGATTGACTGGTCTGATCACTTTGCTGTCCACGGGACTCCCAAGAGTCTTCCACAGCATCACGATTCAGAACCATCAATTCCTTGGCTCTCAGCCTTCTTTATGGTCCAACTCTCACATCTGTACCTGACAACTGGAAAAACCATACCTTTGACTCTGCGGACCTTTGCTGGCAGTGATGTCTTTGCTTTGAATACCTTGTCTAAGTTTGTCATAACTTTCCTTCCAAGGAGCTAGCTAGCATCTTTTAATTTCATGGCTGCAGTCACCGTCTGCAGTGATTTTGAAATCCAAGAAAATAAAATGTCATTGCTTCTACTTTTTCCCCTTCTATTTTCAATGAAGTGATCAGACCAGATGACATGATCTTAGTTTTTTAAATGCTGAATTTCAAGCTATGTATACCTGTACATGACTACTGGGAAGACCATAGCTTTGACTATATGGACCTCTAGTCTTTCCCATTCTATTGTTTTTCTCTCTTTTCATTGTTCATTGAGAAAAGCCTTCTTATCTCTCCTTGCTATTCTCTGGAATTGCATTCAGTTGGTTACATCTTTCCCTTTCTCTCTTGCTTTTCACGTCTCTTCTTTCCTCAGCTGTTTGTGAAGCCTCCTCAGACACCCACTTTGCCTTCTTGCATTTTTTTTCTTTGGGATGGTTTTGGTCAGTTACATCTATACAGTGTTATGGACCTCTGTCCATACTTCTTCAGGCGCTCTCTCAGATCTAATCCCTTGAATGTATTCATCACCTCCACTGTATAATCATAAGGGATTTTATTTAGGTCATTCCTGAATGGCCTATAGGTTTTCTTCACTTTCTTTAGTTTAAGCCTGAATTTTGCTATAAGGAGCTGATGACCTGAGCCACAGTCTTGTTTTTTCTGACTCTATAGTTTCTCCATCTTTGACTTCAAAGAATGTAATCGATCTGATTTTAGTATTGACCATTTGGTGATGTCCATGTGTAGAGTTATCTCTTGTGTTGTTGGAAAAGGATGTTTGCTATGACCAATATGTTCTGTTGGCAAAACTCTGTTAGCCTTTTCCCTGCTTCAGTTTGTACTCCAAGGCCAAACTTGCCAGTTAGTCCAGGTATCTCTTGACACCCTACTTTTGCATTCCAGTCCCCTATGATGAAAAGGACATCTTTTTTGTATTAGTTCTAGAAGATCTTTTAGGTCTTCATAATACCAGTCAACTTCAACTTCTTCGGCATTGGCGGTTGGGGTATAGGCTTGATTTATTGTGATGTTGAATGGTTTGCTTTGGAAACAAACTGAGATCTTTCTGTCATTTTTGAGACTGCACCCAAATACTGAATTTTGAACTCTTTTTTTATGAGGGCTACTTCACTTCTTATATGAGAATCTTGCCAACAGTAGTAGATATATTGATCATCTGAATTAAATTCATCCATTCCTGTCCATTTTAGTTCACTGATTCCTAAGAGGTTGATGTTCACTCTTGCCATTTCCTGCTTGACAATATCCAATTTACCTTGATCCATGGACCTAACATTCCAGTTTCCTATACAGTATTGTTCTTTATAGCATCTGGTTTTGCTTTCACTACCAGACACATACACAGCTGAGTGTTTCTGCTTATGTCCTTCTTGCATTCACTTTTCTTTGGGATTGTTTTGGTCATGCCTCCTGTACAATGTAATGAACTTCTATCCATAGTTCTTCAGGCATTCCATCTACCAGATCTTATCCCTTGAATCTACTAGTCACCTTCTCTATATAACAATAAGGAATTTGATTTAGGTCATTCCTGAATGGCCTAGTGATTTTCCCTACTTTCTTCAATTTAAGCCTGAATTTTGCAATAAGGAGCTCACGATCTGAGCCACAGTCACCTCAACTGCAAGTCTTGTTTTTGCCTACTGTACAGAGCTTCTCCAACTTTGACTGCAAAGAACATAATCAATCTTATTTCAGTATTGACCATCTGGTGATGTCCATATGTAGAGTCTTTTCTTCAGTTTTTGGAAAAGGGTGTTTGCTGTGACCATAGTGTTCTCCTAGTAAAACTCTGTTATCCTTTGCCCTGCTTCATTTTGTACTCCAAGGCCAAACTTGCCTGTTATTCTGAGTATATCTTGACTTCCTACTTTGCATTCCAATTCCAATTGGAATTCTCTTAAGAAAATAAATCCTGAGAGTTCTCATGACAAAGAAAAATATCTTTCTTCTATTTGTTTAATTTTGTGTCTATATGAAATGACCAATATTCACTAAACTTATCGTGGTCATCATTTCAGGTTGTATGCAAGTCAAATCCTTATGCTGTACACCTTAAACTTATACAGTGCTTTATGCCAATTATAACTCAATAAAAATGGAAGGACAAAAAATACAGATTTCTGAATCCTAGTCCTGGCCCAGGAATCTTCATTTTAAACAGCATAGGTTGTTTATGGATGATAAACGACATAGGTTGTTTATTGTCCAAGGTTCGTGTTTTGAGAAACACTAGACTAGGATTGTACTTTTAATGGGGAAAGCCATTATGTATATTTGTTATCCAATTGTATTTAAACTTTGTTTTTGAATATACCCCAGTATTTATTAGCTACTTTCTCTAGATACTGCAAATCAAGACTTAGAATTAGTAAATATGAGGAAGTGGTTAACTATTCCCACTGAGTTTAAGATCTAAGGTTGAAAGTTCAGAGGAACCTAAATACTGGGAATGCTAAGAAAGAAAATTTTAAAAATCTTGTCTTGTTTAAAAATGCTACACAATAGAATGAAGGAATAAATCAACTGATGCATAAATTTGAAGGAAATGACATTTGTGCTTCTGTATACATACAACCAGCTGTTTTATATTAGTTTGCCACTTTTAGTTTCCTTATCACTGTTTATTTCATTATGATTACAGTAAATTATGATATGTTTTAAGAACATAGACTTTAAAGATAGACAAATTCTGGGTCCACATCTTAGCTGGATAACTAGTTCTAGGATCTGGATTTTAAGTATTTGTTTGCTTAAGTTGCTACTACTTGAGAATTTCTAGGACTTAAAGAAGGCAGGACCCTGCAATATGCCAAGAAAATTATTTAGGATCTCTCATCTTAATGGACCATAAAAATGGAAGGTGGGGATCAAACTTGACTTTGATTGTAGTGAGGTTTTCAATTTACCATCCATAGATGGAGTTTAGAGACACCGTGAATATATAAATAAATATCAAAACATTAAAGTAAGCAGATGTCATCATTTTCACAAATGGGTCCTTGACTTCCAATAAGGCAGTTGAAAACAATTTTATATTATTCTTAGGAGGAGGGAAAGGTGATGTGTTTATTTTTATTAAATAAAGTGGAGAATGTAAGCAGCAAAACTGAGTTACATGAAAGGTGAATACCTTGCTGGCATTTAGCTTCCTTCGCTAAGACCATCTCTTTTAGAAGTGAGTCAGAGTATGCCTGATTGTGTTATGGTGCCACCCCCTGGTGATACAACATCATTTTTTTTTTTTTAACTAGAAGTTCTCCCTTCTGAGCTTCTTATTTTTTCCTGTCAGCTATCCTGAATTAATTATGAGTGTATTATTTTAATTCTTGCAGGTTTACATGGACTGTAAGAACAAGAGTGTGGATGTGTCTTTGGTCCATTGCACAGGTAACGGAGTACCCTTGACTAACACTGGACCTGATCCTTCTGCTGCTCCGTGAATCCTTATATCACTTGTGTTTTCTTATAGCTTCCTTGATAAAAGCAATGAAATACTGTGGAAACCTAGATTCAGAGAAACCAATTTTTTTTGAATCAGTGTCTGCTGCAATAAGTAACATGCATCTAAATAAGGTGAGTTGAACAAGTTGGTGTGCCAGAATCATAAGAGAATAGGAATGTAGAATCAAGGGTTTTGTGATTTTTATATCAGACTATTGTCCCATTTGCATCTGAAAACCTATTAAAATGTGTCCCCTCCTCAGAGGCCTCTGCTACAAGCAAATAAATTTTTTCATTCCTTTTTTGGACAACGCATGAACATTGTTTAAGAATTTGGAGTTTCCAGCAATATCACTGTTTAAAGGATCTGGTGATCACCTATTAAGTACAAACTGCTTGATTATAAAATAAATGCATCTTCCAGGATCCACTATCCTGGAAGTTGGAATCTACCTCTGTCAAATACAAAAACTAGAAATGTAACCAAATAGCTTTTAACTGCTCTGATACCCTTTAGTCTAAGCTCATATTGCCATTTTTGGAAATACTATTTACAGAACCCAGGACTCACATGGTCTGAAGTGTCAAAGTTATCTTCTAATACTGGGCTGTATGGTTAATTTTAGAACTATTTCTAGAAATTTGATTTCCCACAATTTTTCTTTTTTTATCTTGAATTGTTTTGCCTTTCCTTATTCCTGTAACAGCATTTATTGTCTTCCTGGGTCATCCTCATTGCATGCAACCAGAACAGTATGCATTTACAAAGTAATAAAAATTTAAAAATTAAAGTAGAAATAATTATTATTTCTACTACTACTACTAAATATTATATCTTATGAACATTCATTGAGTGCTCATGTTCCAAGACTATGCTAAGAGCTTTACCTATATTTCTTCACTAAACTCACCACAAGCTTATGAAGTAGATACTATTATTTAACGTATTGTTAGAAATGAAGAAACTGAGGTTCGGGGAAGTTGTACCATTGGTAAGTGGTGGAGCCAGTTTCAGAGTCAACATTCTGACTTGGCACTTGGAGCTATAAACTTCAATACTCTGATGCCTTGGAGAATATCCATTTTCTTAGTCTGACTAGACAGCTGGCTTCAGTTTCTAATGTTCTTTTACCTGTGGTTATCAACTTAAAGTTAAGTAGCAACACACACACACACACACACACACACACACACACCCCAAACCCCAAACCCAGTATTCTTGCCTGGACAATTCCATAGACAGAGGAGCCTGGCCAGCTGCAGTCCATGGGGTCGTCCATGGGGTCATGGAAGAGTCGGACCGCACTTAGTGACTAAACAAGAAAACAAGTAGCAAGTGCTAATTTCTTCCTCTTCTATTTCAGAATTTGAGCATACTCAGTGACCCCAGTGAAGTCTGAGACTCTTTTGCTGCAGTACCGGTCTTTTCTTTAGCAACTTCCCTGAAAAGGTCATAGTCAAGCGTTTTGCACAAACTTTTTCATTGTGTGGAGCCTACAAATGACCTTTCCGACATGTGTGTGACTTTGTAACTGCATAGCCCCTGCTCAAGGTTTGCCAACAATTTTATCTAATCTTTGTCAGTAAGTAAATTCACTTTGTAGGTTATTGTATACTTATTTTATAAAAATCAATATGCACTTAGTTTTAGTGTACTGAAAGATAAACATGAATTTTTTCCTTTTTTTAATACCACAATATTTTGTGTTAATTTAGTTTTGTTATAGGTTGATTTGTAAAAGTGAGAAGTATTTTCTCCTATCATAGGAGATTTAGAACATTTGCAAGTCATTTGTAAAAATGCAAATGCAGGATCATATGTATAATACAAAGAAACAACTTATCAAGTGTGCCATATTCCACTACCAAAAAAGCCATTAAATATCAATAAGCCATGAAATATTCATGTAATATGATATGAAATTCATAGAAAGTAAGTCAAACAAAACAAATGAAAAATTGGAAACCATTCTTCTTCATATCTTTCCATGCCTGGAAGTCTTCAGGAATGTTTTTACATCACTAGTATCCCAGTGAAATCAAGTTCTTGACTTTGGTTTTGTTGTGACTATTAAAAATGTTTAGGATCTTCAGGCCTCAGCCCTAGTTTGCACATCCCCACCCCATAAAAGTCTCTATTTTCAACTTGTTGGAACTAGAAAATTTGGAAGTTGCACATTTTATGTTTTTTTTTTTACAAATATGATTTATAGATGAGAAAGTATCAATAGCAGAATAACTTTGTGCTAGTCCAGTGTAAGATTAGCTACAGTAGTTGGAGACTTTCCTATTTCAGAGAGATAGTCAATATAATATAATACATTTATCTGTCTAAGATAGATAGATCTCCAGAGAATGCTTTATTTTTTTCTTTTGTTAGAGAAGACTTAGATAAATGCTTATCTGTAAACCCACTAAATCAACAGAGTAATTGACAAGTAAAACCACAGGCTAGGCTGACTTATATAAGTTACTGTTTTCATGTTTATACATATATTTCAAATCACATAGTTTCATATGTTTATCTAGCAACTTGATTTACCTATAAAAATATCACTTTGAAAAATAGGTATAGATACATGCTTTAATCTTAAGGCATTTTAGCTGTTCTAGAAAGTACCAGTTAACAAAAAGCCAAGTACTTTGAAGTGTTTGAGAAAGAGTTTGCAAGCAAAATGAAAAGGGTTTAATTTTAGGTAATTTAGGTGTTTTTCTGGACGTCTGTAAGAGAAAATTCTAATATCTGCTAAGTGATGTAATGGTCCCTAGCAAATGTATAACAAACATTCGCATGGCCCTTGTTTTTACCATTAAACTCTAAGCAGACAATGTAAAAGAGGAATACTAAATATTTCAAAATTTTATAACCTATTTAGCTATGTTAATTTTGATTGACATGAAATGCAAAGATAGTTTTTGTCCCACAGGAAGCCTCAATCCCTTCATCACTAATTTGGAATTGAAATGAGTGAAGCCAATTTTCCTTCCCATCAAATACTGTTCAAGAAAAGGTGGAAGTAATAGTTGAAAGTAAACTTTCCTTAAAAAGAGGAATTTCACTCTGCTTTGCCTGGTTAAATTATTCCAGTTGTGGATGGTGGCAACAGTCACCGTCTCTAATCCATTGGTCACGGGCACATAAATTGATGTATTTCTATGCAACTTTGGCCTATGATTAAATTTATGCACTGTAGACATTTTCTAATTTGTTAGAGATTATGGACTGTAGATGGAATAAAAATCATTACAGTTAATTAATGGATAGTTTCTATTTTTTATTGAAGCTAGCATATAATTGCTTGAAAAGATGTACTTGAATGCACTTCAGTGTTTATAGTAGATATTTAATGGGTAAAACTTAAAAGTCATAACTTTTATCAAATATTATTATTTTCAAAGTAAAAGAATATCAAAAGAAAGGTACCATAAACCCTTTGTTCTAAGGCTTATTCTGCATGCTAGGTCACAGTGACTGTAGACCAGAAGGAACGCCCTGGAATTAAGTCTTGAAAGCCCAGTAACTCAATATGAGTTTCACATGCACAAGATCCTCCTAAAATATACATGTTTATTTCAAAACAGATATTGGTAATAGAAAAACTACAGTAAGGTCCTGATGCTAGAATGTTTCTAATCATGTTGAACTATTTTTATGAGATTATTTATTTTTGTATATGATAAACTACTTATATATTACTTATTATGGTAAAATAAAATAGGGAAAAATTAAAACTGACCTATAAGAATGTTAAGGACTTAACAGAGGGACATACAATATACAAATTAACCATAAAGCAAGTAACCAGGAAAAGTCTGTTAATATTACATTTATACAGATTGAATGTCCTTAATTTACCATTTGTCTTTCATTTTGAAGATTATTTGCCCCCAATTGTATGATTCTAATGTTAAAAGTCTAACTTGAATTACTTTGCAGTAATTTATTTGACAGATCTCTGCTGTGTAAATGGGTAATATAATGAGAAAAGAGATCTCTCTTTTTTAATGAAAATGTTAATGTATTAATACCCTGAATGGATGATGTTTGACAGTTAATGTTTACCCAAATATGTTAATATGTTTTTGAATATACATATGACTGGAAATGCATGTTCTACATTCTGTGGGATGATCATCTACTTCAACATAGACTATCCTTTTTATGGTGATTTTGTTGCCAATTTTTCAATAGGGAGTTTAGTGAGGCTTGCACAATATAGAGATTTTTAGTTACAAATCATATCATCTAATATGCCACACTTATATTTTTATGTTTCAATACATTTAATTACTTTTTAAATAATCCTTTGCAATGACTCAACATATAGCAATCGATTTACATGGAAAATAAACTGAAATATTACTGTGCTTAAATGGATTTCCATTATTTCAAAGTACTTATTGAAGAGCAAAAAGTACATTTTGCTTGCTTAGACTGACCTACAGAGTATTATGTGTTGACAATTACTGGATTCAATATTCTTTGTAATTTATTCTTACAAAATTTCAGCCTAAAATTGTAAAGTGTTGTATGTCAATTTACAGAAGTTTAATAAAGCTACTTTTTGCTGCAACACTACTTTTACACAGTCCTTTACACCAAGTTTAAATCCTTTCTTGTTCTAATTTTAATTAATACATAATTTGTTAATTTGTTTGGCTCTTCATTTATGTACTGTTGTTTGTCTTTTCTGAGTTTCTAGGCTGAGTTCAATATTCTCCAGCATTTTAAAGGTTACTGCTCAAAGAACAAGAAGATAAGGCTCTTTTCCAGGCGTTGGAGATATGGCAGTGAATAAAGCAGAAAAAAAAAAAATCCCTGCCCTTATGGAGCTTGCATCCTTACTGGGGGAAGACAAAATAAATAGAATAAAATTTAAATACCTTTAAGTTAAATGAAAATATGTGCTGAGAATAAGAAAAAATTAAGGAAAGAGGATAAAATGTATGGCAGAAGGTGGGTGTTGTGTCCCGAGATAGAGTGACAGGCATGGTGACTAATGAGAATGCTTTGTAAGCTCAGGCTACTATAATCAAATAGCACAAACCGGAGAACTAAACAATAAACATTTATCTCTCAAAATTCAGTAGGCTGGGAAGTCAAAGATCAAAATAGCACCTGACTCAGCTTCTGGTGTGAGAGCTTGTTTTGTGTCTTGTAGACGGCTGCCTTCTTGCTGTCCTCACATGCCCTCACATGCTGGAAAGAGAGTGCCCTCTGGTTTCTCTTCTGAAAGATCCTATAATTCTGTAAGCTTAGGACTTCACCCTTGTGGCCTAATTTAAGCTGTATTACTTCCCCATATGCTCAGCCTCCACATGCAGTTACACTGGGGTTTAGGGAAACACAAGTCCATAGCAGGAAGTTATAAATGTCTTCTATTTTAAAACATTCCTTTTTATATCTAAAAATTCGGCTTGCTGCAATTTTATAAGTTAGGTTGCCTAAAACGTTCATTTGGGTTTTTCTGTAAGATGTTGCAAAAAACCCACGTGAACTTTTTGACTGACCCAATGTTTAACATAATGCTTTTGCATGAAAAACATGATAAATAATTGTGAACTGTCTGGCTAAAGTATTTTAATGCTAGAGACTGTAGATGAACATAGATATTAGTTCATATCTGGCTACTGAGATGAGATTCTGGCTTTGAAACATAGTGAAGTGGTCAGGAATGGGTTTGCAATATACCAATGGCTATTCGAAAGCTGAGACATTATATTCTGGTGATGGTTTCCATGGATTAGCCATCCTGTTATAAAAATAGAATTGAATTAGTTAGCTTTCCTTTAACTATCATATTGTTTTAAAGAAAATAACAGCGGAGATGTGCTTAATTCTACCAGCAGTCACAGAGACAGACGCAGAACAGAGTCCTGATGCTAACTGCAGTGAGAGCTTTCCACATTTTTGTTTGTTTTTTGTTTACTAAGAAGAAAAGAATAGTAGGTTACTGCACAAATGAGCTAAGTGCTGTGAAATGATGGCTTTCAGGGTGCTCATTATGTAAAAATCCTCACTCATTTTCTACTGATTTCACGCTAGAAAGGTCGTTTTGGTCAAGCTTATTTCCTTTCTGTCCTTAATGATAAAGACCATTCTCTTCACTAAGTATAGAAAGCTTTTTAGTACTTTTTTCCCAATTTGGTACCATGTGTTTTTATGGCCACATTTAGAATTTGGCTAATAAATAAGTCTAGTGAGAATTTATACTTAACAAGAACAATTGTCGCATTAAAAAATAAAATGATTCAATTAAAAAAATCTGGAATTGTGTCTTTATCTCCTTTGCCACTAAAGCTGCCTTTTTCCCCTTCTTGGTTTTGAAGCAGTTTATGGCCTTGTGAGGGCAGAAAAGTGAGAAGAGGCAGATTATTTTAGACTAGAGTATGTTTTCCT